ATGATTCGCTTTTTCTCCTATTATTTTAAGAGGAAGCAATTTGGAAATTGTTTGTGCAATTCTCGTGTGGTCGGAGAACTGAAGATGAGAGGCTGACAGTGAGGGAATGTAAAAAAGTGCGTGCAACGCGTGGGAATGCTACGACGGTTCCCTTGGATGTGGAATGGCCTTGTAAGGCCGCAGGATGAATTACATGGCCACAAGAGATTTACGTAAGACTCACACATCTCTCGTTTTGTTTTGTTCTTCTGTTTTTGTTGTTTAGGAAACACTCGTGTGAACAATGCGATCCAGGAAGATATCACTTGAGCTGTGAATAATACCGGTTGACAACAATTTAAAGTTGCCTGAGAACGTTAGCTCGTTCTTTCGTTCATTATTAGCGCGTCTTCTCACTAATTAACTGACCTGCATGTTGGATTCACTGAGGGAGGAGTAGCTGGAGGAACGGCTTCCTAGTGGCTCTGGACTTAAACTTCCATAAGAAGTCGTCGAGCTCAGCGAGACCGTATCAGCTCTGCTCCTGAATGGAGAAAGCTGCACGTGTTTCATCATCTGAAAACCGCAAGAAAGAAAAAAATTCCATTAAATTTCTTATACGCTGTACACAAAAATATCAGTGGTAAAAAACAACAAATAACAAAGAGAGTACAAGGACATCGGCAATTACACAACGTCTTAAGCTGCAGATACATTGAGCTTATTAGCAATGGACGCTAATTAAAAACGACAGCACGCAATCATGTTTTTTTCGCTTTAGTTTGTAATTGCGGCTCTGCGGTCATTGCTATCGCCAATTCGTACAATTTTATGAATGAATAATCTAATTCAAATTTGATTATGTAATAATCCGAGAAATCCATTACACGTAACACGAGCGCATATCTGCGGTTCGCTGGAACGCCGTTGCGGTTCTCGACGAAAAACGAAAAAAAGGCTCAAATTCTGTCGCAGGATGTGAACGATCAATGTGTTAATAAAAATACACAACAAAATCACATTCCTTGAAAACACAGAAAATATGCACTTCTAAAAATAGAAATATCTTATTTGTTTTTCTTGGTACAGAAGATGTTGAATTAAAAATTATTATATTTAATAAGTTTGAATGAATATGATAATTTATTGGCACCCATAAATAACTGTTAAATTCGAACAGCAGCAGCAGCAGTAGTAGCAATTGGTAAACAACGAAGTGAAACGTGCTAAAAGAAATAATCATTCGCGTTTTCGTGTCTGCATAATATTTTTGTTTACTTTAATGATTGGAATTGTAAAATGTTTATTTTCTTTTAATGGAACTTGCTATTATTCATTTAAATGGAAACAATAACATCTTTACTTATGCAACGTAAGAAAAATAATTTTATCAACGCATTTATCGTAACCGTTTTTATTTACAAAAAAAAACAAAAATATTTTATTAATAAGTTTGTGTTTTGTTCCCAGGGATTTTTTTTGTAAACAAAATAATTTTCATAAAGTAAGTTAATTGAAGCTACGTGCAATATTTGTACGCAGACAGCAAATTATTAATTTCAATTGATGAACGCATCAACGCAAATGTTTGCGGTTTCAAAGAGTATTTTTGTTTGTTCAGTTCTAAGCAATTACTCAATTATAAATTACTAAATTCACGTAATTCGATAATGAGAGTCGTTATGTTAAATGTTTGTGAATTTATTCCTGGAAATAATACTTTGCTAATGCTAATGCTAATTCTACTAACTTTGTCACTGTACTTCTTTGAAATAATTGAATTTGTTTGATATTTAAAAACTAAACGAATGATCAGAAATTAAATTAAAAAAAAAGTAGTTATGTATTAGATGTAAGTAATTATTATAATTACTTTTCCTCTTGTTGATATTTTTTATAGTCATATTTTTAAACAAATATATGAAAATATAATGAATAATACATTGTGTAAATGTGAATAAAGTGAATAGTTGAAACTTGGAATAGACGCAAATTTTAATAAATCTAAATACTTTAGTTGGCGTTTTCAATTAAATTGATTTGATTAAGTTTCTGCAAGTAATACTAGCTATGCATTTGAACACCAATTTCAAATTTGATTTTGGTTTAATCATCAATCGATTGTTTACGTATTTCGCAACGCACTTTCGACATTATTACTTATCATCAATTTCGTGAACTAGTTTAATACAAATCAATGAATTGATCCAAACCCATTGTTCAATTAATATTTCTTGAATTTACTTAATTTCTCAGAATTTATTATAATATACGTAACAAACTATCATTGCATGAAATATATTCAGGAAATTAATCATTTGTAGAAACAAGCCATGTTCGTGTAAATGATTGAACAAGAAGTAATTAGCATAAATAACATGAAAGCAAATTGATTGAATAATAATAATAATATGATTTAATACAAGTAAATTTAGTTTGAAAAGTATTGCTATTACTAATATAATTTAAATTTGTTAATAAAAGTGCGTATGCTGAGCGCGTCGAAGAAGAAATTAGGGTTTCATACCTAGAACGGTTAATTGTGTAAACTGGTAATCCCAAAATGTAAATATCACGTTCGAGGGAAAAAAAGTAAACGTAAACAGGCACCACAACAAACGATTCACGTTATATCCTTACTGCAGCAAAGTCAGCACGCAACTGAACTGTTTTGAGTAGTGGCAGTAGTAGGCAGTAGTAGTAGGGAGGATTTGTAAACTGCGCCTTCCATCAAGGCGTCTATCCAATCGTTTAAAGGTCCATCATTCCGTACGACCATTTGTTTATGGTTTCTTCTTGAGGGGCCGAAAATTAACTTAGACCACGTTGACCCTATCCAGGCAATTAAAGTCACGGTTTGTTTTGTGCCTACCAAGACGTATTCTGTACAATGCATCCCATTGTGATGAAAATGAAATTTAACGATCCCATCTCTAATCGAACAATACGCAATTATTACTTATCTACTGTTTATCAAGCAAAATATTTAACCCTTATTGTTTCCTACAGTATTTCTCATTTTATCTAAGCTCAGTTACAATTATTATTTTTTAATGATATCAACTGTTTGTTATTGCAATTTTGCTTGCTATTTTTTAATATATTTGAAACGAATAAAAAAAAATCATCAATTATTTATTTTAGATAATAATAGATGTAATCGTATAAACGTAATTTCCAGAATTTAATAACAGTTATCGTTTTAAAATTACTAAAATAATAAATCAAATGAAATACAACAATATTTCATATACTTTTCATATCAGAACAAATAGCTTTATTCACCTGATAAGAGATATCTCCGTGCACGAAACGCTTTTATTTTGAGCATAATCCGAAGAAAAAAAAAGAAACCATTGACGGGAAAACGAAATTACGCAACAGGCGGCCGCCGAGGACTCTGTTTGTAGATATAATGTGGTAATTTGTTGCCCGTGTTAATAGATTTTCGATCTGAATCGTCGGCTGTTGTGTAACTGCGCTTCCGTTTGCAACACAACAGAAATCATTCTATAATTCCATCAATAGTAGTCATATAAAAAAAAAACTAGTTTATCTTCTCTAGCCGTTAAATAACCGAAAAAAAAACATATTTCATGTTTACTGTAGAATCCGTCTATGTTTGTTTGTTATTTACGATAATATTGAAATTTTGTTAATGTCAGTTGGTCGTTTTGTAAATTCGATTTCGAAAATATTTTTATTTGCATTTCGGAAAGCAATTATTACTATGTATTTAGTTGTAAATGGGTGCTTGTTTTCTTTGTTTTTGCTCGATGATCTATCCAGAAAGACCCCGTTCGAATTTAGAATGTTTTTGTTTCCTTGTCTAAAAATATGCGAAGCCAGTTATTTTCGAACGCTGAATAATGCACATTAGTCTTCTGGAATTGTATTTCCTGAAATAAATGTAATAAATATTCGCTGAGATATATTTATTGTAGTTTTACAGAAAATACAGTGGAACCTCGCTTAACGAGTTTAATCCGTTAAAAAAAATCAGAATTTTTACTCGTATAGTGAAACACATTTTCCTATATAAACTAATGTAAATTACGATAATGCGTTCTATGCCGGAGAAAAAAAAGTATAACTTGGTTATATAACTTATTAAATTTTGTACAAAAAAATAACAGGTCTGAACACAAGTTTGGATATTTTGTAATCACAAACAACACTAAGATGCAACTAGAATGATCACTAACACCAGGAATTGTTTTCCAATTCACACAGTGAAGTGAGTTCATATCAATTCGAGTACTTCAGTATATTTATATGGGACTATATTTGGGTGAAAAACACAATTTGGCATAAAATTTTAACCATTCTTGAATTTTTTTTCTCCAAATCTACTAAAAAACATAGTTATGCAAAGAGTAACTAGACATTATTGTGTTATAAAATATAAATACATAAAATTATTTTATACTTTATTTAAAGTCAATACATTATGCATTTTAATTGAATTATAGACCAAGACAGAAGCGTTTTTATTAAAATAAATACAGTTTTAATGATTTAATTGCTTACAGAAGCAGAACTAACGTGATGAATTAGCTGTATATAATAAATACAGGAGGGTATCATTTTTAATTAATTCAAAATTATCGAATATTTAAAGAACAAACATATTGGAAATTAGAGGATCTTAGTTGTACCCTTTTTAAAATATAATTAATTAAATTATTACCAGAAAGACCTTTTATCAATAGTTTTGTAGCAGTTGTTTTTTTTTTGTTGGATTATTATTAAATGCAAATGTTTTTTTTTTTCGTGAAATAAAAAGGACTGAAAAACTGAATTTTATAGTTTAAAGTTGTAACTTAATTTAAAATGAAAAATAAAATATATGAAGTAATTAATAGAACAAGATTTGAGCTGTAGCATTCCATTAAAATGCCATTTAGATGCTCGAACGGATTAATGACGATCCAAAGATAAACTTGGAACCCATTTATAGATCTCGTCTGTTTTCCCTTTCGCGTAACTTTTCCTTATTTAACGTAATTTATCGTATCGCCTTATATAAAAAGCGGCTAAGACACTTTAAGAATGCGATGTTTCGCATTTTTGCATACAATGAACGCAGAAAGTTATCATCCTTTTGCACATAACGAGAATTATTCGTCGGATCTCCTTTCCTAGTCGGATTTACTACTTCGCATCGGACATAACGAACGGATTTTTCTGAGGTGATTCAATTCAGAATCCGAGAACAGACAATTGCGAAAGTTTATTTACACACTGTTTGGTCCAGTTAATCTTGCCATACGTTCAACACTAAAAATAATCAAGAGTTTATTTAAACGTAAACAACTCACAATCATAGCCAAATTTAGTTAATGACGATGATTCAACTTACAGATAATTAAAGATAGCATTGATTATTTATATCAATGGATATTGCAATGATTAAAATATCTAATTATCAATTGAAATCAATATATTTCTTTTAAGAAACATATAAAAATCCTTCTAAAAACGACAATAAAATCAAGTAATCAACTTTAGTTAACTTAACAGAATTACGTATGTTTTCTGAGAATTAATTGTAAATTATATAAATTTTGTACTTAATAAAAAACACTATTTGTATGAACATTTCAGTTTCAATAGAAACGTTGATATTTTTAAAGCCAAATAAAGTTAATGACAAAATCTTTAAATAAAGATAGTTTAGAAAATCTCTTAAAAACAATATGTTAACATTTAGACTTAAGAAATGAATTATGAACACATCACAATTTTTTTAGTACACATATCTTAAGTTTCATCCTGGTTTATTTTAATTATTTTTTATAATTAATTAATTATAATAAACTTAATTGACAATAAAATGTTATATTTTAATCATTTTCGATAAAATGATGAACATTTTATCAATTAAGTTGAAGTGCATATAACAGAGAATTAGACGGAAACTAGGCATCGGTTAAACGATGAACGTCGACCATTTGTTATATAAATGCATAATTTCCCATCACATCCTCCTCTCGCAACATCAATTGTTGTTACATAATTGCCAATTTAGTTACTAATATATCATCTCTTTCTTCGTCATCCTGGCACACCGTTCTTGCGGTATTCGCCAAGAAAATGTTGCGATGACGTGCAGAAAGTAAACATTCCCGTGTTTAAAGTAAATTCCATGAGATATTTTAATTTCAAACATAGGAAAATAATGGCACCTTTCCACAATTTCCATAAATATGATGATCAAAAATGTGTTTAATCGGAATCCAGTACGTTCTTGTAATATGATAAGGAATTCATTAAATTAAGGGTTGATTGATTGTGTTGATAAGTGCTGTAGTTTTTTTTTTGGGAGCGGCGCAATTTGATCACTGGACTGCGCCCAGGCCATTTAGGCAACCCTCGCTAAGTCAACATAGGGATGATTTATCCTGCAACATCATGCTGCAGTCACGAACGTTTCCTTCCCTTTTCGGTGGCACTTAACTAATTGCAAGGGCCTTAGAAAGAAAACATGTAACGTTTAAGTTACGACTGTTTAGCTAGGAACTTAGGAATAGCCTAAAATTTGATGCATTTCTTGTTTCAAAAGAGTCAAGATGTTTAATAATTGTAATTTTGATAATTACACACGAACAATTGTCTATTATAATAGATTTAAGACTATAAAGTGTGTTTCCTCATTCAAATTAAAAATGATATGAAGTAGAACGCGTTATATCGAAAAACGTTAATCTCATTTAATCTTAATCTTGAATAAGTTCAAATCTAAAATCTTAACAATTTTTCTACATTATTGATATTGAATACGATACATTTTAAGTTTTCCACTTAAAGTTAAAGAAAAAGGAAATATACAATATTTAACAATTTAACAAAGAACGTATGAATAAATTCAATTCTCTCTTAGAGCTAATAAAAATGTATCATAATAACTTCGACATATATACGAGATTCACGTAACCAATGGATTTATCCAATTAAACGCTGGATTTAATCGCTTTCCGGATATTTCATCGACATAATTATGCGGCTTCTCGGCGGAAAACAGTGGGATTATGTAACCCGGTCCGCTTTCGTTTGGTTTATACAACATCAGATGGATGTTAATGTACTCGCTAATCGCTGTGCAAATTCCGAGCGACCTTTCAGCATTCCGCTAAATTAAACGTAAAGACCTCTTGCTGCTTTATTTATCGCGCACAGCCAACATTTCCTCAAATTAGAGATTTCTTCGAGCTCATTCATGGTAGTCTTAGCTTTGCAAAGCTGCAGCTAATTATCTTTGATTCAATCCGGTCGAATTGAAACTGCATCATGCTGCACTATTCAGGTCATACACCAATTGATAATTCTCTTTCATTTTATAATTAGAATCACTTCACTGCGACTACCAAGAAATTCAAACTCAACTTCAATATATCCTATTGTGCTTACCCTTAATATCAGAAGAGCAATAATACAATTATTTGAAAAATAAACTTGAATCTGCATTTTGCAGTGATAAAAATCATGATTTTTTCTAAGTTTATTCAAAAGAAGACGATTAAATACATAATACCTTGCATAGTGCGGTTAATCGGTTCTGCCAATATCCCTATTTGAAACCGCATTAATTGAGGACTTTAATTACGTACTATTTTTTTTGAATTTATTTTTATTTTGATCTATTAAATTTTA